CATACATACATACATACACACATACATACATACATACATAAACAAATATATACAATATATACATATATATATGTATTATTATTATTATTGTTATTATTATTGATATTATTATTAATATATATTTGTACATAATGAAAAGGAATCTCAACCTCTCAACCTTTTGATAAACCTTAAAAAAACCCAGAACCTTGACCCTCTAAACTCCAAACCCTCAACCCCAAACCCCGAATTCCAAACCTTAAACCCTAAACCCCAAACCCTAAACCCCAAACCCTAAACCTTAAACCCTAAACCCTAGGAAACAAATCTAAGCAGGGCCTCCAAGCGCCTCGCCCCTTCGAAGGACACGGACAGCCGTGCGGGGTCCACGCGGATCCTGGGACAAAGTGCTCCAAGGCGCTGACCGGGCAGCTACCCTAAACCCTAAACCCTAAACCCCAAACCCCAAACCCCAAACCCGAAACCCGAAACCCTAACCCTAAACCCTAAACCCTAAACCCTAAACCCTAAACCCTAAACCCTAAACCCTAAACCCTAAACCCAAACCCCTAAACCCAAAACCCTAAACCCTAAACCCTAAACCCTAAACCCTAAACCCTAAACCCTAAACCCTAAACCCTAAACCCTAAACCCTAACACCTAAACCCTAAACCCTAAACCCTAAACCCTAAACCCTAAACCCTAAACCCTAAACCCTAAACCCTAAACCCTAAACCCTAAACCCTAAACCCAAGCCCTAGACCCTGAACCCTGAACCCTGAACCCTAAACTCTAAACCCTGAACCCCAAACCCCAAACCCTAAACTCTAAGCGGGTGGGGAGGGGAGGGCTCTACAGATTCTACTGGACCGCCCCCTCCAGGCCCTCAATCCTAAACATTTTGAATTGTGGTAACCCTAAACCCTAAACCCTAAACTCCTTTTTAGGGCTCAGGGTTCTAGGCTTCTAGGGTTCTGGGGTCGAGGGCAAGGATCACTGTGGCGAGCACGTTGGCAAAGGCGCCCAGCACGACCAAGTCAGACATGAACTCCTGCGAGCTGTTCACCTGAGCACGCGGGCTCATGAAAGGGGTTACTCAAAAAAAGAGGCCTCGAACTTTGAAAGAACAAAAAAAGCTCTAGAGTGAATCTTGGCCCGGGGACAGTCACCATGAAGCGTCCCATGACAGCAACACGAATCTCAAAAAGTATATCCGTGTTGGTGGTGGTCATGGTCATGGTGGACGTGGCGGTGCTTGTCTGGGTCTGCGTCACCACGACGAAGGAGCAAGAAGGGAACGTGCCGAAAAGACCACCTGGGTAGCCCAGTAACCATATTACAATAAGGGCACCTTTTTTTTGGGGTTGGTTACTTTACAAGGGAACCTTGAACCAAAAAAAAGGGAAAAAGGCACCACTGGGCTACCAAGCCACCATCGGCAGAGCAAGTGAGCACAGAGCTGCTTCCCTCCCACCCCGGGGCGCAGGAGACGTTGCAGCTACCACCTTGGAGACCAGATGAACCCTCAAAGGGCTTATGGCCCATCTACCTGAATAGGAATTATGGTAGTATAGGGTATATGAAACCCTAAACCCTAAACCCTAAACCCTAAACCCAAAACTCTAAACCCTAAACCCTAAACCCTAAGTCCTCAGTAAGGCACCCGTCACCACGCCCGCGCAGTCGTGCGCGTACTGGGCGCCCGATGGGAAGTTGTAGAAGCATCCTGTGGGCGCGCAGTTGGGCATCGTGCCCCTCAGCCCGACATCGCCTCAGTTCTTGAGTCTTGGGGTTTAGGGTTTAGGGTTTAGGGTTTAGGGTTTGGGGTTTAGGGTTTAGGGTTTGGGGTTTGGGGTTTAGGGCTTATAGTGCTTAGAGCCTAGGGTTTAGGGACTAGGGCTATGAATTTGGAGTTCAGAGTGCAGGTTCAGGGATGGCAAACTAGACCTAGAACCCAATTTTTAGGGTACTTATAGCCCTGATCATAGCTACCCATGAACCTCCAAAACCCTAAACCCTAAACCCTAAACCCTCAACCCTAAACCCTAAACCCTAAACCCTAAACCCTCAGCTGCGAGCGGGCGTATCGCAGAGAAGCGGCCTGGGACCTGCCCAGGGAGCAGCGCCAGCCCGGACTGAGACCCTGCGCAGGTCCAGCTCTGCAAGCTGCCACCTCGTGGAGGGTTTAAGGTTTAGGGTTTAGGGTTTAGGGTTTAGGGTTTAGGGTTTGGGGTTAGGGGTTAGGGTTAGGGTTTAGGGTTTCGGGTTTCGGGTTTAGGGTTCAGGGTTTAGGGTCTAGGGCCCAGGGAAGCGGAGGGATCCTAGGTGCTGTCCCCTTGAAGCTCCCAGAAGTATTCGGACCCTCTGAATCCAACAGGGGAAAATATTGGAAATCGCAAGCTCCTTCCGGACTTCGGTTTAGGGTTTGAGGTTTAGGGTTTAGGGTTTAGGGTTTAGGGTTTAGGGTTTAGGGTTTCGGGTTTAGGGTTTAGGGTTTAGGGTTTAGGGGTTGAGGTTTAGGGTTTAGGGTTTAGGGCTACAAAGTCCAGGCCTCCAAACTTCTGGTGCCTTTGGTGGCTACCCTTCAAACACTAAACCCTAAACCCTAAACCCTAAACCCTAAACCCTAAACCCTAAACCCTAAACCCTAAACCCTAAACCCGTGTTGTACTAGGCGCCCCCAAAAAGGACCCTCCCGTTTCAGGTGTCAACTAAGTTCAGGGTGCCCGCGCCCCACCTCCCTCATCCTAGGGTTTAGGGTTTGGGGTTTAGGGTTTAGGGGTTAGGGGTTAGGGTTTAGGGTTTAGGGTTTAGGGTTTAGGGTTTAGGGTTTAGGGGTTTAGGGTTTTGGGTTAGGGTGTAGGGTTTAGGGGTTTAGGGTTTTGGGCTTAGCGCGACAAACTAAGATCCACAGCTGTGCTGAAAAGTGCCAATGGAGCTGCCAGAAGCATCGGCGTAGCCAGGGGCGCAAAATGCCGAGCAGCTGCCCCCGAAGTGGATCCCGCTGCAGGTGTGGAGCACGTTCCTGGAGACAACCCAGAATCTGCAATTCGAAGGATTTCTGCGTAGTTTCCGATATTTGTTGAGCAAAATGCTGATGTCCCTTCACAGCCTAGCACTCTGAGAGCCGTTAAACCCTTCTAAAGAGGCAAAACTCTAGCACCCCGAAGACGTTTCAAGCCCAGAAAGCCCCGAATGCTCTTGAAGCCCTGGAAGCCCCTTGAACAGTGCAAACCCTTTAGCAAGACATCAAGCCATTAACAGAACTTAACGGTTTTAGGGTTTAGGGCCCTAAAAGCCTTAAACCCTAAAGCCTTGGACCTCTCAACCCGAACAAAAACCTTGAAACCCTCAAACCCCCTTGAATTCCCCCCCCCCCCCCCCCTACACAACACTGAAACCCCCAACCCTAAAACCCTTAAACCCCCTTGAGCCCGGTTGAGACCCAAAACCTAAACCCTTGAAACTCCCTCAACACCCCAAAAACCATGGCACTCTTGAAACTAGACCCAAGAGCAACCTAGGAGCAAAAAGGGGTTAAAAAGGCTGAGAAGGGAAGCTACACCCCAGAAACAGGGAATACGGGCCTACTCGGAGTCCTTGGAAACCTTTGAACTCTAAATCCCGAAGCCCGAAAACCAAAATCTTGAAAGCCCCCCAAAAGCCAAAGCATAAAAAAACCCCGAAAAACAAACCCCCAAAACAACTACAGCCCCAAATGCAAAACTCTAAAATTCCGAGCGACAAAGCGCCCCCCCCCCCCCCCCCAGCAGAAAAAACATCCTTAAAAATGCCAGAAATGAGGCATCATAATCACACTAATAAGACTAACAATAGCAAATAGAAATAGTAATCATAATGACGAACTAAAAAATGAACCTAAAGCCCGAAACAAAAGAACGAACAATCCAAACAACCGAAGAAAACTAAAATCCAAAAACTACTAATTGCTTAAGAACCCCCCCAAACAAAAAAAATGTATGTATAAATGAAATAAACGGTGAAACCCTTATATTGCCCTTATAGGCAAGAATATAGTTATTGTTAATGTTTTCGGGTTCCTAAGCAAACAGAGCTTAGTAACCTAGGGATGAGAAGGGTGCCCTTTTTGGTCTCACGCGGCTGAGAAGGGAGCTGCACGCCAAAAAACAGCAATAAGCGCCGACTCTTGGTCCTACAAAACCTTTTGAACTCTAGGCCCCCTCCGAAAAGCCAAAACCCCCCTAAACCCTAAACCCCCCTATAGCCTAAACCACCCTAAACCACCCTAAACCCTAATCCCTAAACCCTAAGCCCTAAACCCTAAACCCTAAACCCTAAACCCTAAACCCTCCACCTTCAAAGAAGGGGTTTAGCAGCCCTGAAACCCTTGGACCGCTCGGAGGCCAAGGCTCTGCAAAGGGGCGGAGAAGCTGCCTTGACTCAGGCTTCGTTGAGGGTTTAAGGTTTGGGGTTTAGGGTGTAGGGTTTTAAGGTTTAGGGTTTGGGGTTTAGGGTTTAGGGTTTGGGGATGGAGGTTGAGGGTTTTGGGTGTAGGGTCTGGGGTTTGGGGGGCTCGGGGTTCGGGGTTTGAGGTTCTGGGATTAGGAGGTGTGGGGTTTGGGGTTTGGGGTTTGGGCCTTCCAGCTTCCTTCGGAAAGACATCCTAAACGACACAGAGTCGCAAGTAACACCCTAGTCGCCTTAGACCCTAAACCCGAAACCCTATGGTCCGACCCAGTGGCACTCCAGTGGGTGGCAGGCAGAGCTTGAATTGGCGACGGCTGCACCGTCGCTGGTGCAGACGTAGGTCACCTGGAGATGAAAGCATGTGGTCTTGGGTTCAGTTCACTTCAGTTTAAGTGTCAGATTTATATACTGTCCTATACATATATATATGTATATGCACATATGTATTTACATGCATATTTCACACATACGTATACACATATGCTACATATGCATGCGAACCTGCAGATATTACAACTGCACACATGCGGGTTGTCCATGATTCCTTTTCTGAGCAACCCCCTACCGCCGTCACAGTCTACAACGGGAAGACTCAGCCGCCACCACGAGGCAAACCAAACAGACCAAAATTCTTAGACTCTTAAACCCTATACGTTTTTCTGTGTGAAACTACAAGCCCAGGCGCTTCTTCGTCTTTTGGCCAAAACACACAAGAATATGCCTCAAAACCGAGGAACATCCTGGCCGGAGTAGCCATGTGCACAGGTCCGCTCACAGGCCTCGCCCGTTCGCACTCCAGTGCAGTTGTCCTCCACACGAGGGCTGCTTGCTGGCAGTCCAGAACCTTACTGAGTTGCAAGTAAGGATTGGGGCTTAGGGTTTAGGGTTTAGGCTTGAGGGTTTAGGGCTTACAAGACGCTGCCATTTATTACGTACTCGTACTATGCCACATGAATTAAAGTGAAGGTTGAGCTTCTTCTCATCCCTAAGCCCTAACCCTACAGCCCTAAACCACGAAAAGGGGCTACTAAAGCTGTGCACGCGCGCGATGGGAGTGCGCCCCTAAAGCTAACCGCACGTGTACACTGATACACACCCTAAACCCGAAACCCAAAACCCAAAACCCTAAACCCTAAACCCTAAGCCCTACACCCTAAACCCTAAACCCTAAACCCCTAAACCCTATCATGAAACCCTAAACCCTAAACCCTAAACCCTCTGAGCCAAGTGAAGGGGCTGCAAGGCTCCGGCTCGCAGGTGGGCGGCTGGCCCTCGAGGCTGGTGGCCCCGGAGGTCGCATTGTAGCTGCACCTGGGTAGGGTTTAGGGTTTAGGGTTTAGGGTTTAGGGTTTAGGGTTTAGGGTTTAGGGTTTAGGGTTTAGGGTTTAGGGTTTAGGGTTTAGGGTTTAGGGTTTAGGGTTTAGGGTTTATTTAGGGTTTAGGGTTTAGGGTTTAGGGTTTAGGGTTTAGGGTTTAGGGTTTAGGGTTTAGGGTTTAGGGTTTAGGGTTTAGGGTTTAGGGTGTAGGGTGTAGGGTGTAGGGTGTAGGGTTTCGGGTTTAGGGTTTAGGGTTTAGGGTTTAGGGTTTAGGGTTTAGGGTTTAGGGTTTCGGGTAGCTGCACAGCTGGAGGTTTGGGGTTGTAGGTTTAGGGTTTTAGGGCTGTTTTATCAGATTTAGGCACCTGGGCTGCTTCTTGCGAAGGTTTTTAGGGTTTGAGGATTGCCGGGTTCAGGGCTCTAGGGCTCTAGGGCTTTGGGGGCTTCAGGGTTTAGGGTTGTAGGGTTTCAGAGCTCAGGGATGTAAGCCCTAAACCCTAAACCCTAAACCCTAAACCCTAAACCCTAAACCCTAAACCCTAAACCCTAAACCCTAACAGCAGCCAAGGCACTGCCAGGTCTCCGCGGAACTGCCGTTGCTGAACATGTAGCCGTTCGCACAGAAAACCACGCAGGACCGGCCTAAGGGTTTAGGGTTTAGGGTTTAGGGTTTAGGGTTTAGGGTTTAGGGTTTAGGGTTTAGGGTTTAGGGTTTAGGGTTTAGGGTCCCCCTGTTTTCTCTCCTGTGCCTGAGTTTTGAGTCTGAGTTTTGAATACGGTAACCCAAAATCCTGCCCTGGAGGTTCCTGGGTAGTTTGCAAGTAGGGTTGAGGGAAGTAGGGCACCAAAACTTCTCACCCTATTTGGGGAACTTATAACCCTACTACTTAGGGTACTTATAACCCTATCTGGGGTACTTACAACCCTATTTGGGGTACTTATAACCCTATCTGGGGTACTTATAACCCTGCTTAGGGTGCTGATAACCCTACTACTTAGGGTACTTATAACCCTATCTGGGGTACTTATAACCCTACTTATAATGCTGATAACCCAACTTAGGGTAATTATAACCCTATTTGGGGTACTTATAACACTACTTAGGGTACATATAACCCTAGTTAGGGTAATTATAACCCTATTGTGAAGTCGACCAGCACTGGACTTGCACTAAGCCAATGCAATCACAGCCCGGCCACGCTGTTTTACGACTTCGCGAGTTCAAGCACTTGTGCAGCTACGCCTGAGTGCGTCCGGTCGGACCGCACAGCAACCTAAGAGCTACTGTACGACTCTACCGTGCTCAAAGGCACAAGCTCGGTACTTGAGCCAAAATATTGGCATTGTAACGAATTGCAAAACTACACATGCAAAGAAAACTACAGTACTGGTTCTGGCAGCTCTGCACATGCAACGTGCGTGTTTAGACCTGCTCACATTCGCCCCTCAGCCGAGGCTTCCAGCTCATCTCGAGCTCGGAGTGCAGCAGGCACTCGCGCTGAACACAGAAAGGGAAGGGAGAGGGTGTCGCGTGCGACCGCGGTGGTCCGCACATCATGAGCATTGGCATGCGGCAGGGACGCTAGCCCGCACCACCACACGAACGCACGACGACGGCAACCCTCAGCGACCCTAAACCACCCTTTCCCAGGAGGTCCTCACCCTTTTGCTGGTGGGCGAGGCTCTTGAATCCTCGAGCTGGTCTCTAGCTGCCAGTACGCAGACTATGGTACAAATGGTACACTGTACACTACCGGTCCTAAGCTACGGCTACGGCTACTCACCTATCCGGAACTACCCTACGGGCTACCAGACTCAGCGAGAGCCGCGCACATGGCTTGTGCCGCAGGCAATGCAACTCACACGCGCTTCGGCGAGCGCATTGCCGCGACCAGGACACGGTCTGCAGCACCTGCAAAAGAGCACCCTCGGCACGAGGGGCCACAGGCAGGGCGGAGGAGAAAGGTGCGGGGAATGCAAAATGGGCAGGTTTCCAACCTGCCGCGGCCTTTCGCCCGCAGTCAAGCAAAAGAAAGTGCAAAAGGTTGGCGAAGCAACGTGCCGTGCTGCAACGCCTGCTCTGATAATGCGTGGATGCATACCACGCCGCGCCAACTGGCCGCAGCCTACTCGATACCCTGTGGAGCAGTGTTGGGGGCACGAGTGGCGTTGCCAGCAACGTTGGA